AAATAAATAAAAATATGAAACAATAGAAATTAGAAGCAGATATATCTATTTATATGTTATTTTCTTCACATTGAGCTTGTGTTGTTGTGCCAGAAGGAAAGCCAGGAGAATTTTAGGTCAGAATGGATATGACACCCAACTCTACTTTCAGTTAGACTCATGGTCTAATTGAGATGACAAAACTAGTCTAAAGCAGGATGTATGTAATGCATAGCTAGTATAGTGCTTTGTGTTATATCTGTACTTCATAAAACCATACAAGGTAAGTGTTGTTATTTGAATTTCATAGGTAAGGAATCCAAGACTCACGAGTTGAAGTAATCTGTTCAAGTCATAGACAGCAAGTGACAAGAGCTAGGGATGGAATCCAGTCTTTTGATGGTGTCAACCAGAACCTTTCCTCCTTGTAGTATGCCATGTTGCTTCTCTACATACTGTACCAATAGTGTAGTTTCAAGTTGTTCAAGAGAGGGAGAATGGATTGTAAGGGGTCAGAAAAGGGGTGGGATCTGAGCTGGTCTTTCAACATGGGTATGATTTTGATAGATAGGATGGGAGAGATGCCACTCAGGGCAGGAGAACAGATAAGCAGTCAGAAATCTGCATACTTGCTTTGGGTGATGTTGAGAAGAGCTTTCTGGTTGGAGCAGGACAGAGAAAAGAGGGAATTTGGAGCTAATACTCCACATTTTTACTTCTTTGTGCTCTTTCTGCAGGGAAGTACTGGCCAGTGAAGCAATTCTTAATATTCCTGAGAAGTCTGACTGGAGGCAGTGTCAAATCAGCAAAGATGAGGAAGAGACCCTGGCTTGCCGCTTCCGCAAAGATTTTGAGCCCTTTGACTTCACTCTGGATGACTAACCAAAGGGAGGAACACTTTGTGAACTTTGAAAGAAATTGTTCCAGCCAGTATGTTTTTAATGAAACTGCAGTCTCTCCTGGGGATTGTTTCTCTGCCTCTTTTTCATGCATTCCCATGGAACTGCCTGCAGCAAGAGACCTAGGATTGAATTTTTTTTTTTTTTTTTTTTTTAGGAAAGTCATTCTAAGATGAAAATTCTATGCTAAAAGCATGCCTGTTACTTAACACTAAGAACAGCGTGTGTTTAATCTACATTTTCAAAACAACTATCAAATAAAATCTAAGTTTTTTTTGGTCTTTTGAGACAGGGTCTCACTATGTAGTTTAGGCAGGTCTTGAACTATGTAGCCCAGGCTGGCCTCAGACTCCAGGTGATCCTCCTGCCTTAGCCTCCCAAGTGCTGGGATTACAGGTGTGTGCCATCACATCTGGCTACAAATTGTTTTTAATAATTGAGAACCCTCTTGTATTCATGTTGACCACTGAAATGAAGTACTGTGTAAAATAGGAAGGGCCGGAGTTTTAGGTCTAGCTCTTACTAGAATCATAGAGGGTGGTTTCTTTCGGGATAACCCAAGATAGAGAAGAGACTAATGGTCTTTTTCTCTTGTAGCATCATCTTATTCTTAATATAAAAGCCCATTCAGTCCTTCAGATATTTAACTCCTATGTACCAGGCATTCTTCTAGGCTCCAAGAATATAGTCATGCCTCATCATGGTGCTTTCTGTCCCAGAGTTTAGTCTAATTGGGAAGAGAGGGGAAAGATTTAAAAAGAGAAGATGAGTTCTGCTTTTAATAAGCTGTTTCAGATGTCTAACAGATATGTCCAGTGTACTGTTGGATAATCCTAAACTCATGGAGATCTGAATTATTGATAAGGCTTTAGGGACCATCAGGGTGTAGGCCATAAATGAAATTATGAGTATGGATGAAAATAAGAGCGGGTGATTCTTTTGTGCCTCAATGATCCTGCCAGTGGATTTTCTACTGCTTTCTTCCAGTCTCTCTACCTCTTGAGTGAGCAGGTACTAGCTGGCCTGGAGGAGTTCTGTGGGCCCTTCAGACAGTAAACGTGGCAGGAGCAAGTTTCTGGGGCCTGAGGACATCTTCATCACTGTCAAGTGGTGAACGTCTCCTTCTGGGGCTCCTGGCTCTTCACACCCATGTCCAAGATGGCAACTATGAAGTGTAAGCTTATGAAGAATTTCACCTCAGAAGAGCCCATTTGTCACAGTAAGGTCTCCATTAGAACTCAATCATTGGACATGGCCTGTGCTGTCAGCATTTTATTAAACTTGCCCTGGTGAAGTTCAAGAAGATGAACTGAAGGGTGAAGTCATGGTAGCCCTTTTGTGAAAATGTCAAATACTGTTTGCAGCAAAGATTAACATGTTACTGCGAACTCCAGCCTAGTGATTATCACAGTAGGTACATGCCAGGAGAGAGGAGAATCAGGGCTGAAATTTTTAAAGTAATGATTGCCCCTATTTTCTAGTACAGCCCCCACTGATTGTTGTTTACAACTTAGTAGATACCTTATGTATCCTGGAAACTGAGTGCATTTCCCAAAAACTGTGTTATTGGAAGTGGCTGTAATCTGGATACTGCTCATTTCTACTTCTTAACTGGGCAAAAGGTTAGTACCCACTCTGAAACTGTCATGAGTATGAACTTGGAAAGTATGGAGATTCAAGTGTTCCTATATGGAGTGTAGTTAATATAGCTGATGTCCCTCTAAAGGATCTGAACTCAGCTACAGGAACTAATAAAGATCCTGACCAGTGGAAAAATATCCACAAAGAAGTGATTGCCAGTGCCTGTCAGATAATTAAAATGAAAGGTTATACCTCTAGGGCCACTGGCCTATCTGTACTTAATAGAAAGTATTTTGAAGAATGTAAGAACGCGTTCAGTTTCCACCATAGGGGCCGGGATTTAGCTCAGTGGTTCTGCTGCCTGCCTTGCAAGCACAAGGTCCCAAGTTCGATAGCAGGTACAAGAAAGGAAGAGAGAGAGGGAGAGAGGGAGAGAGAGAGAGAGAGAGAGAGAAGGAAGAACAGAAAGAAAGAAAGAAGAAAGTTAGTTTCCACCATAATTAAGGACCTCTATGGAACAGAGAAAGAAGTACAGTATTCCTCAGGGTCCCATGTATCCTGGGAGAAAATGGTATAACAGACTTTATAAAGATAAACCTGACCCTTGAAGGGAAGCCTATTTTTTAAAAGTGCAGAAACACTTTGGGAGAATTCAGGAGTGTAAGCTTTAAAATCCAAAGCCACTAGTCTTAAGTTATTGAAAATAAGATAGCAGATGAGACTGTATATGCCAAAGTTCTGGATAAACTTGAATTCCTGAAAGTTTGAAGAGATTCCCCCATTTATTTAGCATCCAGATGCTATATGGTCCTTAACCTGTTTACATTTCCTAAGTAACTGCACCAAAAACGGTATCTTTGGCATCTCTGATCTGCCAGTATTTGTAAGTATATGTATGTAGTTTCCATCTGTTCCAAAAATCAGTAGGATATTGGTGGTTACTGTGTTCCAAAAATCATTACTTTCATTCTGGGTTGCTTATACCAATGTTCATTTATACACTATTTAAAAAAGTTGTAATTTCCCCTACAATGTAGAAATAAACGTATACAAAAAAAAGAAGATAAGATACGGTAAATATAGTCCTAAGCTAAAGATCTCCAGTATTTAAGGAGTGCTTGGATATAGTGATCCAATAGTACATGGACAAGAAGCAGAGAGCTCACAGAAGAATGCTGTATGTTGGAGTGAAAAGAAAAATAATTGTTCCTATTATTGAGCATTTATGGCCCAGACACTGTTTCACTTAATCCTCATAAAATCTCTGTGTGGTATTACCTCTGTCTTATATATGAAAAAAACAAGTCAGCCAGCCCAGGATTTTTTTTTTTTTTTTAAACTTGAGCTGAGAAGGGGAATTTCAAAAGACTAAACTATGGAAACCGACCTGATTTCTGCAAAGATGGCCACTTTGGGTCAACCCAATCATCAGTATCTTGGCTGGGATACTCAGCAACTGTCATTATCTCTTCTGGGTAAGAATTAAGAGATTGAAACTCCATTGCAGCAAATGAGAGAGCTTCATACTTTCATGACAGTATGCACCACAGTCCTATATACGGTCTGTCCAGCTATCAAAGATGTGTTCTCAGAGGCTCTATTTGCCATTACATCCAACTGTTATACACCAGTTCTACATAAACCATCCAAATCTGGAAACCAGCATCTCCCATACAACAGCGTCAATGGCCCACGACATTGATTGGCTATGTATTTTACAGTCAACGTTCTAGTTGCACGGACACCTATTTTTTTTTTTATGAGAATTTGATTCCATGTTGACTCTTAAACCTATTGAGATCCCTGGGTTCCATAAAGTAGATGACTGAGTCAAGTAGAAAACCAGAAGGTTGTTACCCTAGGCAATTTGCCACTCAGAAGCACTTCTTGTTGCACCAAATAGCATTCTTGCCTTCGCAGCCATGCAGCAAGCATCAGAAACAATTCCCATAATGAAGAACTACCGCTAGCAAACTGTAACTAGAAGGTTCTCGGTCAGCAAGCTCTGAAAGACATTTAAGGAAGCTCTCCAAATCCGGAAGAACATTCTTTACTCCGGAATGCCGTCATCGTTGAGTTGTCTGTGATTATAGGGGCGATCTTGGGAACGGGTGTCATAGAAAGTCATAATTAACTGTGAAGGCTAATTCATCCATGGGCCTGTTTGCGCAGGGGTCTCTCGAATTGTTTGTACACGATCTAAGTCTTTAGTGGCTTTTGTCAGTGCCGGCTCAGCAGGTGGTGGAGTTGGAGGATAGATGCCATGGATTTTTTAAAGGGTGAAATGTAGACAGGAATGCAGAAAATGTGAAGTTTAGAAAACACGTAAGAGATCGCTGATTTGAAGGTAATGTAATGTTTGAAGAGACCTTTTTATTTTTCAAGTCCAGAAAAACATACGTGGGTTCCCTCGGCCAGGAGAATGCTCGGGGCACTTAAGACGCGCTGCTTCCCACTCTCGTCAACTGGAATTCCGCAGCTCCTCGGAAAGACCTAGGGTGAGGCTTTTCCTGCAGCAGCTACCGGAAGTGACGCATGCATCTCGCGAGAACAAAGGCGCGCGAGCCTCAGAGGCCCGGAACCGGCCTTGGAACTGCAGCGGAACTGAAGCTGCTTGCCCTCCCGCCCCATGGAGCGGCCCCCGGGGCTGCGGCCGGGCGCGGGCGGGCCTTGGGAGATGCGGGAGCGACTTGGCACCGGCGGGTTCGGGAATGTCTGTCTGTACCAGCATCGGGTGAGGCGGGGCGCAGGAAGGAGCAGTGGTGGGTTTGTCAGAGCTTTTCTAGAACACAAGGGTTGTCATTGTGTGAGGCAGTATATGTGAACCAGTGTGTGTGTATGTGAGAGAGAGACAGAGACAGTGAAGTGATACTATGTTTGTGAGCCTGGGTGACTGAGTTTGAGGTTGTGTCTGAGTTCTCCGGAGAGTGTGTTGAAACAGCTATTAGGGCGAATTTAGGTATGAGTGTCAAGATGTGAATAGCTGTTTCGTGAGCGCGACAGTGATTATGTGTCTGTGAGTGTAGAGTGTCAAGGTGTGTGAGACAGTTCCACACCCGAATGTATGTGTGAGTTCGAATGGGTGAGAAATGGGGTTGATGGGGAGGGACCTGCCTTGTGTGTCTGTATGTGTGTCTCATTGGTGGGATCAGTAGAGACTGGAGTAGACAAGGAAGGCTTCTTGATTAGCCAAGAGTCAAACCTTTGGAAGCATTGGTAGACTTTGGAATTGAGGGTGCATTCCACATAGAGAACAAATTGAGAGTAAGATGGTGAAAATGATCATAGCTTAAAAAGGGAAAGATACAGATTGAAGGTGGGAACTCTTTTGTGGAAGACAACATCAGACTCAAGGAATTTACTTTTTTAACTGAAAATGTTTTACCATTGTAACAGTAGTTAATGTTTGAGTCATGTATCTTTTAGTATACCAATAAAAAGTATGAACCCTTTACCCAGAAAAAAGCACAGATGCCCATCCACACAACCTGATGATGCCTTGCTATTTAAGGGGTTCATGCTTTCCTAAAGAACATTTTTGGTGAAGAGACCCTGAACTAATAATTCTTAAAGTATAGTTTTTGTTTTGTTATCAGTTAAATAGGTATAATAATGTATATATCTGGGGTGACCGAAAGACACAATGAATGTTTAAATTTTTAAAAGACACATTGCCAAGAAAGATAAATGTGCTCAAAATGAGAGTATTTTGAGGGGAATTAGTGCTAATGTGTCTTTTACTGTAAAAAAATTTTAAATTGAAACGTTCACCATATTTTATGATCATCCCAAATTAATCCACCGTTTATGGTAATTTCTATCAAAAACATTATGGACCATCCTCATCCACTGTATTCACCGGATCTGGCACTTTGCAACTTCTGGCTCTTCCCCAAAGCCAAAATGGCCAGGAAAGGTAACATTTTGAATGGATTTGAGCATTGAAGCACCCGGGACAGTGCCAATAAAGATACTCAAAAAAGACTTCCAGACTGCTTCAGAAAATGGCAAGAGCAATGGGATAAGTGTTCAGAATGAGAGGGAGTATTTTGAAGGGTATTAATGGCAGTGTGTCTTTTACTGAATTTTTTTTTTGGGGGGGTGCCGGGGATCAAACTCAGGACCTTGCACTTGCGAGGCAGGCAGCGGCACCACTGAGCTAAATCCCCAGCTAATTTTTAAAAATTTAAACAATTACTATATATTTCTATCATACCTCATACATCCTGTGTCTATTTGAGAGTTAAGTAAGATGGTAATGTATGTAAAACTAAGTAGTAGTACTTGGCCTGCCAAAGGCCTCATCGCAGCTCCAGCTTCTGGTTTGTTGTTATTGTGTTTATCATAATTTTCATCATCTTTAATTGACCTTAAAAAAGGAAATGTCAAGATAAAAATAGTTCTGTAGGGAAATTACTTTTGTAAAGGATAAATTTGGAAAAACATGGACAAAATGAGCAGTTAAGATATTACTAAAATGTCTGTACTTGGCTTATGAATAGAGAAGTGAATCCAGAAGAAGAAATTATAATTTGCTATTTTAAGGAACATGGTTGTGGATAGAGAGCCTATAAGTAAGGATAGGAGAGAGGAGAGATAGGTGTCTACCTTCAGAGAATTGGTGTATTTATGGGGCAATTAGAATGACATATGTCATTGATAGAACTGGAGAAACTGAAGCAGCTTTATAGATAAAGCATGGGAGGAAGTCTTAGGTAGAGAAGAAGGTGAAGGACTAAGGCATTAAGTATTTTCATAGTAAAATGTAAATTTAATAATTCTTAGCATCTTAGGGAACATAATGCACTCAAAGAAAAAGAAAGAGACATTGCTTTCAGTGAGATGTTTTTGTGTTATCTAAGCCTGCTCATTAGCCTGGTCATAAGGAAAAAAGTGTGCATGCTGGTATAGTATACTTTTATAACTGCTTCTTTTTTTTGAGACAGTGTCTCGCTATGTAGTTCAGGCTGGCCTTGAACTCACTATGTAGCCCAGGCTGGCCTTGAACTTGGAGTAATCCTTCTGCCTCAGCCTCCTAGGTGCTGGGATTACAGGTGTACAGGTGTGTGCAACCACACCTGGCCTGTGACTACTTAAAAATTTTGACTGGCTGAGGACAGATGAAGATGAATTCTTCACTTTTTTTTTTTTTTTTTTTTTTTTTTGCTTACTGTGCACCAGGCCCTGGTTTCAATCCCCAGCACCGAAAACAAAAACTGAAACTTTTTTTATTGGAGTAAAGAATACATAAAGTTCACCATTTTAACTGTGTAGTTCAGTAGCCTGGAGCACATCCACATCAATATGCAACTGTTACCACCATTTATTTCCAAAACTTTTTTATCTTCCCAGACTGAAACTCTGTACTCATTAAACAATAATTCCCATTTCCCCTTCCCCCTATCCCCTGGCAAACTATTCTACTTTTTGTCTCTGTGGAATCCATTACTTTAAATAGAAGAGATTTGGACCCCTGAAAGTCTTAGAAATCTCTTGGGAACTTTCTAATTGATCAGAGTACCCTTCCCCAAAAGGGGACATTTGATAACCAGGTCTGTAGTAAGGAGAGAAGGAATAATCTATAATAAGATTAGGAAACAGGATCACTTAACTTTCAATATATACTAATGTTTGGGTAGAAGCCATGTCCCAGTATTTTATGTACAGTTCTCAAAGTACAATGAAGAAGTAAGGACCTGAGATGGTTTATTTAGTTGGTTACTGTGCTGGGTACTGACAGTGCCAAAATCAGAAAGAGGCTTATCTACCTTACAGAAGATTTCAAGTCTATGAAAGAAATAGACATAAAAACAAAGTAGAGTGTGGTACTCTATATATTTGTAAAGTAATACCGAAGCATGGCAGAGGAACCAAAGAACTCTTTCTAGGGAATATGGTAGTACTTCTCAGATTGTGTTGGAAAAATTAGTTCCATGAAATACTTTAAAGAAAGGGTATAGGGGCTGGCAAAACAGATCAGGGGTAGAAAGCTTGCCCAGCAGGTGTAAGACAATCCCCAGCATAGGAGGGAGGGTGGAGAAAGCAACAGTTGGTCTTCCATGAATTTTGTATTCACAGATTCAACCAACTGTAGATTGAAAGTATTTGGGGAAAAAAATGCACCTGTACTGAATATGCATAGAAGTTTTCTTGTCATTATTCCCTAAATAATACAATGTAGCAACAATTTGTATAGCATTTATCTTGTATTAGATATTATAAGTAATCTAGAGTTGACTTGTATGTAGGATATGCATAGGTTATATGCAAATACTGTGCTATTTTATGTAATGTACTTGAGAATCTGCAGATTTTGATATCTTCTGGAGATCCTGGAAACAATCCTCCACATGTCAAGGGATGACTTTATTATGTTCAAATGCATTGGGTAAATGCTGTATATAGTATTCCTTTGTTTAGAGGTTGAAAAGTTGGAAAAATAAGGAAACTAACTTAGTATTTTCCATCTATTAATTATAAAAAATACATATAATGTAAAATTTATTATTTTTAATTCTGTATGGGGGGGTGCTGGGGATCTAAACCCAGGGCCTCGTGCAATCTTAATAAGTGCTCTAGAACTCTATCATTGAGCTAAACTTCCAGTCCCATTTTGACAATTTTAAGTATACAGTTCTGTTATATTAAGTGCATTTGCATCATGCAACTATCATTGCTGTCCAACTCCAAAATATCCATTCATATGAGAATTTAGAGTTTAGTGTTTATGGCTAAACAGATAGTCTATATGGTAGTAAAACTACCTGGGATGTAGCTACAACCAGGGTCCTGTTCATAATGAAAAATTGAAGAGAGAGCCTACTATGGTTAGGCAAGTTGATAGTCTGTCCTAGTTCCTTTCTTCTCTCTACACATTATCAACTATCTTGTCTTTAGCCTCTTTCACCCCCCCAGCTCCCAATTCAGACTCCCATTCAAGGTGTGTCTTCCCCATCTGTATTTTTTTCCCCTTCCAGCCCCTGGGCACTTCTCTCTTTATTCATAGAACCTTTACCACACCTCTGGTTTTGTGTCAGAGATTACACATTTTGAAAGCATTGATTTAACAGTCTCATGGTTTATCTAACAAAAGTGTAGACTCAAGAAAGCTGTGGATAGTATGTTTAATTAGTAAGCTAAAAAGAGTTGTTTCCCTGAGTTAACATTTCTTTGATAGCAAGCAAATCTGTACAAGAACCTAACTTATTTTTTCTGTTGACTTTCTGTTTTGGCAGGAACTTGATCTCAAAATAGCCATTAAATCCTGCCGCCTAGAGCTAAGTACCAAAAACAGAGAACGGTGGTGTCATGAAATCCAGATTATGAAGAAGTAAGTGTACTCAGTGACTTTTATTTCTCTGGTTCTCCAGCCCAGCCAATAGGGAAGGGTGCCTGGAATCCACTCTTCTCAGGATCTTTTGGAGAACATATTTTTCTCTTTGTCATCAACTATATTTATTCTGTTTCATGTAATTACATCACCTTATGTATTAATTTTCTCTTGTTGCTGAGACAAAATACCCAACACCCAAAGTTAGAGAGGGAAAGATTTATTTGGGTTACAGTTCATAGAGGTTTCAGTCCATAATCGGCTGGCTGCAAGGCAGAGTGGATGGCAGATAGACAACCCTTCCAGAGCAGAAACAGTTCATGGCAGCCAGAAGGTAGCAAAAGCAACAAGAGTTTATCAGCGGCTTTCTGTCCCTTTTATCTTATTCAAACTACCAGGATTAGGGTAGTGACAAACCAATCAATGTACTGGTTTAGTACACCCTTAATCCCAGCATCACACACTCTAGATTAAGCCACCACATGAGGCTTTGTGGGACATCTAGACCCAAACCATAACACTATATGATTAAGTTTAGTTTAAAAGTCAGCTAGTTATTACTAGACTTAGTTCTCTCAAGGCAGAATTTATTTCTTCTGGATCTTGAGAAATCCCCATGTATCATACTTTCTAGTTAAACTACTACAAATTTTAATAAATCACTATTCTCATTACTTTTGCATCTACTTCTGTTAAATAGTCCTACTTCTTTGTAAAAATTTACCCCCAAATTTAGTGGCTTAAAACTAAGCATCTACTAGCTATACTTTCTGTGATTTAGGAATTTGGGAGTGGCTTAGTTGTTTGGTTCTAGCTCAGGGTCTCTCTTGAGATATCTCAAATTGTTGGCCAGAGCTGAGGATTTAACTCAGTGGCACCGAACCTGCCTTGCAAGTGCAAGGTCCTGAGTTCAATCGCCGGTACCTCAAAAAAAAAAAAGCCAAATTGTTGCCCAGAGCTGCAGTCTTCCAGGGTTTGACCAGGAATGATATAGTGACTTCTAGGCACACTTATGTAGCTGTTGGCAAGAGGCCTCAGTTCTTCACCATGTGGGCCTCCATGGGGAAACCTGAAATCCTTAATGACATGGCAGCTAGCTTCCCCAGAGCAAGTGTTGTATGAGAGAGAGAACAAGATGAAGGCTGACATCTTTTATGAAGTATTTTCGGAAGTCACACTTCATTTTTTCCACTACACATCATTCTTTCCACCAAATTCTGTTCGTTAGAAATGAATCACTAGCTGGACATGGTGGTGTACCCTTTTAATCCCAGCACTCAGGAGGCTGAGGCAGGAGGATTGTTGAGAGTTGGAGGCCATTGTGGGCTACATAGTGAGTTCTAGGCTAGCCTGAACTACATAGCTAGACCTTGTCTCAAAAACAAACTAACAACAAACAAACAAGAAACAAAAACAAAATGAAATGAGTCACTAGTATATCATATACTCAAGGAGAAAAGAATTAAGCTCTTTAAGGAATAGGTGGACATACTTTAAACTTTCACAGATAATATGCTTCTACCGGTAGTGTAACTGTACTGATCATTCCTCTAGTTGTCATTACAGCCCTGTGTTTAGATATTATCCCTATTTTGTATATGAGTAAGCTGGAGCTCATATAGTCACAGCTGGTAGTAGAGTCTAGGTTTGAAATGAACACTTTCTGACTCCAGTGTTGTGCTCAGTTCAATTTTATACTTCTCAAATGTGGGTACATAGCAGAATTACCAGAAAAGCATAATATAAATTCTCAGGCCCTCCATGTGGAGATTCTCTTTTTTAGGTCCTGGAACATGGGAATCTATACCAGTTGATGATGATGATGACTGACATATTGCTAATAAGAAAAGAACTGTTAGATAATATATAGTATGATTCAGCATTTATTGAAAAAAATTTGTGCCTAAAACTAGAAGGAAATATGTCCACATTTTATTAGTATTCACCTCTGGGTAACATTGTAAGTGATCATTTGAGAGGCAGTATAATATAGCCCAGTGATGGTGAATCTTTTAGAGATTGAATTCCCAAACTACAAGCCAAAACCTACTTCTTTATCACAAAGTGCCAGCACTGCAATTAAACCTAAATGCTCAGCTGTTGGAGCAGTGCTGGGGTGACTTGACTCACGTGCCTACAGAGTGATCCCTGGTGCCTGCTGCAGCACGTGTGCCATAGGTTCACTAATAGAAGCTTTGGAGCCAGACTGCCAGATTTGAATCCTTATTGACAACCTACTTACTGTGAGATCTTGTCACTTTACCACTTCATGCTTCAGTTTTTTTCCTGTTTTATGAAACTCAGTGGTGTTGTGACAAGTAAATGAGTTAATATATTTAAAGTGCTTACTGATTTCACAAATCTACTAGTAGTAATGATGGTATTTTAATTTTCCTTCTAAAAATTACTGATTTTTAGTTACACAAATCACAAATTAGAATTTTATAAAATACCAGTATTCCTCATGTCACTCCCTAACCTCCAGTTAACTACCATTTTAAATCCAGTTCCTTTATAATGTCTTTCCCTTCTTGTTAGGTTGAACCATGCTAATGTTGTAAAGGCCTGTGATGTTCCTGAGGAACTGAATTTTTTGATTAATGATGTGCCTCTTCTAGCAATGGAGTACTGTTCTGGAGGAGATCTCCGGAAGGTAGTGTGGATGCTTTGAGATTATAAGATAGTATATCATAAACTTTAGCAGTTTTGGATCATATTCTATATGATAATCTATAATAAGAATCAGAATACTATGGTCTGCTACCTATTTTGTAAGTAAAGTTTTATTGGAAGACAGCCATGTTTATGTCTATGGCTGCAGAATTGAGTAGCTCTGACAGAGACCATGTGGCTTGCAAACCCTAAAAATATTTACTCTTTGTCCCTATATAGAAAATACTTGCTGACTCCTGGTTTAGAACATGCATTTTTTGTTGTTGTTTGCAAAATTAGACTAAATTGATAGTGTTAAATCAAAATATCAGTGTTTAAGGTGCTTATAAAAAGATTATCTTTTCAGCTGGGCATGGTGGCAGAAGCCTGTAATCCAAGCACCAAGGCAGGAGGATCGCCATTACGTTCAGGACCAGCCTGGGCTCCATAGTGAGTTCACGGCCAGCCTGGATCACATAATGAGACTCTTTTAAAAAACAACAACAAAGTTGTCTTTTTTACTGCAGTCTTTCTTTCCTAACTCATTTGAAATTTGTCCATATGGTTATTTGTATATAGATATATCTCTATGAGATTTCCCAACCTTTTTCAATTTCAATTTCAAATATTTTTGCCCTTTTACCTTTACTTTTGTGAGCTTTGTCATGAAATTTACATGTCTTCCATATGAATTTCATAATTTTTTTTCTCCTTCATATACATTTTTTTTTTTTGGTACCAGGGATTGACCACAGTACCTTGAGATTGCGAGGCAGGCAATAGGGCCACTGAGCTAAATCCCCGGCCCCTTCATACACTTTTTATCATGACTTTTTCCTTATTTGAGAATTGTCTTCAAGTATAGTGATTAATATGTGTTGCTATTGCTGCCCAGCAATTTGTAGTACACATTTTTAGACTTTTTTTTTTTCTTTTCCTTTAGCTACTCAACAAACCAGAAAATTGTTGTGGACTTAAAGAAAGTCAGATACTTTCTTTACTCAGTGATATAGGTATGTAATCAATATTTTAAAATAACCATTGGGATTCAATGCCCCTTTATGTATAAAAGATTTTGTATATAATATATATAATATATAATTCTGTTGGGAATTAAGGATAATTGTTAATATACTATGCAAAGCATATAGATATATAACATTTATAAGAAATTATAATATGTATTATTATTCTAAATGAAAACTGTAATATTTTGTTATGTATTTTTTAGTTTTGTCTAGCAGTCATTTGCTGAATAGATCTTCCAGGTACTGGCAAGCAATAGTATGAAATGAACTTGCTCAGTTTCACTCCCTGCGCCTTAAATTGACATAGTAATTTTGTTCACTATGGGATTAGAGCTCTTTAGGGGAGAAGTCCTCAAATCAGTTCTTAAGAGTGAAATTCTGATTTAATCAGAACTGTTCCTGAAAAATCCCTGAGATAACAGAACCTAGGCCCTTGGAAGATGCTCAAAAGCTAAGAATTGGTTTTCCTATGTATATTAGTTTTGCTTCTTTTCCTAGGTAATGAGGGCTGAAGTTTAGTTGAAAAGGGTGATTTAGGTGGGAGGAAAATGTCAGAAGGGTTATAGGAGTTTTCTCAGTTGATCTTTCCATTTCTTTTTAATGTTAACTGTAATAAATTAAATGACCATATATTGTAGCTTCAGTATGTATTTAATGTTACTGTATTTTCTGTAAAGAAATCCGATCTTTTGTAATAACTGTAATAGTTGAGAGGCTGTGATGGTCCATATAAATTTGAGCATCAGTGCAGATCTGTATAAAATGTAATATGAATTTTTTTAACTCAATGTTTTCTCTTCACAATCCTTTTTTAACTTTTTATAGGGTCTGGGATTCGATATTTGCATGAAAATAAAATTATACATCGAGATCTAAAACCTGAAAATATAGTTCTTCAGGATGTTGGTGGAAAGGTAGGTAAACCTGAAGAAATGTTCTGTGCCTATTGCATATAGTCTCCTTGATGCAGTTTTTAATCTTTGGTGTCCTTGCTGTGTACCCGTAGCACTCTACACTTTTTCTATTTCAGTCCTCACCATACTCAAGTGTAATTCTGTGGTTAGCTTTTTTCTCATTTCCTAAACATTGGCTCCATTAGAGAAGAAATTGAACCTCTCTTGTTTGTGTGTTTTTCTAGCACTGTTTGTAGCAGAGATAGTAGGCAGTAAATTTATCAACCCTATTTTATTGTTAAGAAGCACATCTAAAATATACACATATACATCCTGAGCCTGCTTTGCTCTAGGAAAAAAGTATGTTTCTTTAAAACTCATTTTCCTTCTTCCAAATCCTAAGTTCTGTATTTAATTAAAACTTGATTTCTCAGATTCCTAAGTAGATCATGTTAAGAAGAACCGGAAATTGTAAATTTATTTTAACATATTTATTTATTTAACATTTATTTTCATCAGAATAATTTGAGCAGTTTTCTTGTTTCCAGCATGTAAGTTTCATTCCAGTGAAGAATTAAAGCCAGGAGTTTAAAACTTGCATTGGATTATGTGGTAACTCTTAGTGAAGATGATAATTGGTCAACTGGAAGTGATGGCATTATGATGGTGCTTCACATAGGAGTCTTTTATGTATACTTTGCACCAATCTCTGCTTGCTGTTTTTGTTGTTGTTGTTGTTTTTGTTTGTTTATTATCTATCTGAAGACTTAGGACCATACTTGAATTTACACAGGTGTTGCTTCACATTTAATCCTTCCTATAGTAGTATACTTCTTCAAATTTGGAAATCATCCTTTGCCTTCCGGTTTAATGGGTCAAATTTATACAGAATATACCAAAATAAAAATTAATAGTCAGCCTATATTTATTTTTTACCATGTATCAGGCACTGTGTTAAGTTCTTTATTTTCACTATTTTCCTGACTCAATAAATAATTCTAAAAGTAGGAACTATTCGTTATCTCATCAAGAGGTTAAATAATTTGATCAAGAGCATATGGCTGGTTAAGTGGTGGAGCTCAGCCTTGAAACAAATTGTTATGTCAGAGCCTAAGCTTTTTATTGCCACACTATCTGCAATCTTAGAAGGATGTTGTTGCCTTGGCTTTCCAATATTTCAACCATGTAATAATTATTCTTGTCTTATTATTTTGCAGGCAATGCACAAAATAATTGATCTGGGATATGCCAAAGATGTTGATCAAGGAAGTCTCTGTACGTCTTTTGTGGGAACCCTGCAGTATCTGGTGAGATATGTATTATTTCTTTGAATTTAAGTGCATTAGAGTCTTATTCTTGTTTATGAAGGTCATGTGTATAGTAGTTCAAAAAATAGCTGTTCCCTTACAGCATTGGCCTTTAAAACATTTTCTTTCTTTCTCTCTTTCTTTCTTTCTTTCTTTCTAGGCCCCAGAACTTTTTGAGAATAAGCCTTACACAGCTACTGTTGATTATTGGAGCTTTGGGACAATGGTGTTTGAATGTATTGCTGGATATAGGCCGTTTTTGCATCATCTGCAGCCATTTACCTGGTAAGACATAGATGAGAACTTTGATGTGTTTAATGAGAATGTAAACTTTTTCAATTGTTTGCTTTTTTCATTTACTTTATAATTGCTTTTTAAAATCAGAATTGAATAAAATAAAATGGCAGGAAATCAGAGTATCTGTAAGAATCACGTTGTCAACTGAGGTATCTTTTGTTTTTTTAGGCATGAAAAAATTAAGAAGAAGGATCCAAAGTGTATATTTGCTTGTGAAGAGATGACTGGGGAAGTTCGGTTTAGTAGCCATTTACCTCAGCCAAATAGCCTTTGTAGGTAAGTGCATTTTAGTTGAGAAAGTTTGCCTCAGTTTGTTCAGGGTTGTAAAAGAAGAGTAAAGTAGTTGTCTGTTTCAAGTAGCGTTATCCAGTACAACTTTCCGTAATTGTAGAAATGTTCATTTATTTACATTGATCACATGAAGTTTATTAAGCTTTTTGAACACTTGAAAGGTATTCAGAGGGGATTGGGGCTTAGTTCATTGATAGAATATTGCCTAAATTGCCTAGAACAAGTGCCAGCACTGCCAAAAAGAAAAAAGGAACTGGCTAGTGTGACTAAGGAACTGCATTTTAAATAAATAGTAAATGTAAGTAACATTGTGACTAATGGCTATCGTATTAGACAGTACAGATATTGATGAAACCAAGAACCGTTGCATTCAGGGGATTGGCTTAGATGCTAAAAAGACCCAGTGAATAAGTTCCCTGAAGAATGCGATTAGACTTATCAGAGTTGTCATTATTAAACTTACATATGCGGGCTTTAGGCCTGTTTTCTTACGGAAGGAAGTTTGTCTCCTATCATTTCATGAACTATCTCAAAGTAAGATATAAAACAGTATAAGTGGTGGAAAAAGAATGGACAGCCTATAAAATTGTTTTTTAAACAATATTGAAGGAAAATTGGAACACAACCACATTCACCCTATTTTTGTACATTTTTTAGTTTGATAGTAGAGCCTATGGAAAACTGGCTACAGTTGATGCTGAATTGGGACCCACAGCAGAGAGGGGGACCTGTTGACCTTACTCTAAAGCAACCAAGATGTTTCATATTAATGGATCACATTCTGAATTTGAAGGTTAGTTTTAATGAGGTACATTTCTTAACACCTACATTGAAGTTAACTAGTTTACTTGAAAACTGAGGATAAGTATATTTTAATAATCTTTTTGTAGTATTTATCATAAAGAAAATTACTTTCTTACAGCTGATGCTTTTCTATTTCTTAAGGAACCTTTTTCAGTTTGTTTCTAAGTGGCCCTTATTGATTATTTCTTTGAAGCATCTTTATTTTCTTCATCCCTTGTTGCTACCATTATTACCTCATTCGTTTAGGTTTAATCATGTTAGATTTAGTTTAGTGAGAAAGGTTCTCATCTAACTTTCATATCTCTATACTAACTCTCCATCCTGTAGTCTATGCAACATGAACTGCCCTTCATCATCTTCTGAGATTAGAAGATAGCAGGCTTATTCAGGGTGGTATGGCTGTAGATTGTCCCTCATCTTCTGAAAATGCTTTTGTTTTTTTTAAAACCTTCTGTCCAGGAAATTAACAAGTGTTGTTGGAGGGGTTGGGTAGGTTTTGTTTGTTTTGCTTACTAAGTTACATTTAAACTGATCTGCTTATCTGCTTGGCTTTTTTATGCTTTTTAATGCAGGTCCACCCAATCAAATACTTGCCTTATATCTGCTTCTCTTGACTGTTACTTCACTTAAGACAAGCTTTTTATTGCCTCTCATGCCATCAAACCTTTTATCTACTTTTGTGCTTTGACAGATGCCGTCCTTCTGTCCAGAATGACCCTCATGTCTGTGTATCTCCTTGCCCACACTTGCATGTCTTCAGTTTGCTTTTTTTTTTACATGCTGTCTGCCACACAATATGTCAGTCATATTTTGTATATTTTCTAATTTTCTCATCTGCTATTCATTCCTCTCCACTCTGTCCTTGGTTATCTGAACAGAGCCTCACTTTACTCAGTTTCACACTCAGCCTATATCAGCCATCTTTCAGTGGAGGTATAGGTGAGAGTATTAAGAATGTTTTATCTAACTTTAGGCCTTTAGGCTGGTCACTGCTCACTGGTTGGATTGCCTGATGAGGATAACAATATTTTTTTCCAAAGAAATAGAGGCTCACTCTTCTACTAGATGGTTATTTCTTGAAGAACACGAGGTAGTCAGACATGAGTTCAGATTCAATCTCTACCAGTTATCAACTGTGTGATCCCTAATAAATTATTTGACTTCCCAGAGCCCTTGTTTTTTCCTCTGCTACAACAGAGATTAGAATTAATGGGAATGTTTTGTGGAAGCATTTAACTCGGCAGTTGGTATCTATGAGGCACTTCACACATAGGGATATTTCCTCCTAGTTTTGTGATATTGTTACTCAAAATAAATACTGTAGGTGCTTTTTTAAACTGGAATTTTTATTTTTTATTATGTGCATCCCTAAAACTTTGAAATTTCATTTTTTGGAACTAACATCTGTTGTACTAGAAAAGTAAACTAGTCTTCAGTTTTCACAATGTTATTTTATAATTGCAGAAAATGTCACTTTGGAGAATGAGTGACCCTTGTTTTGTGGAAAAGTAATGCCTTTTGCTCATATTCTCCTTTCAGTATCTTGCACTGAACTGTTATGTTGCAAATGATTAGTAAATTTATCTTTTTATTACTCATACAGATAGTACACATCCTAAATATGACTTCTGCAAAGATAATTTCTTTTCTGTTACCACCTGATGAAAGTCTTCATTCACTACAGTCTCGTATTGAGCATGAAACTGGAATAAATACTGGTTCTCAAGAGCTTCTTTCAGAGACAGGAATTTCACTGGATCCTCGGAAACCAGCTTCTCAATGTGTTCTAGATGGAGTTGTAAGAATCCTTTTTTTGTTTTTTAATTGATATAATATGTGTACGTATTTATGGGGAACAGTATATAATTCAATACATATTACAAGGTATAATGATCAAATCAGGGTTATTAGGATTTCCATTTCCTCAAATACTATTAACAATATGTTGGTAACCTTCAAACTCCCTCTCCTTTGGTTATGTTGAAGTCTGTAATAATTGTACACTACAGTTACCCTACTACGCTATATAAAAAGAGTTTTAAGAGAATTCTAATATAACTAGAATCCGATAAGAAATCTGTATAGAGTTGTTGTATGCCCTGCATTTTTCAGTACATACATGGAATCCCTTGGGGGTGGAATACATCTTATAATTCTTTTAGTTTTGCCCCACTGGTGACTTTATCATTGTTTTGCAGGTTAAACAAGATAGAAATATCACATTTGTTGTTTTGAACTTTGTAAGGCTTTTTCTTTGATGCCAATTCTATCGCACATTCTTTTTCTTCTTATAATTGAAGCCTAGAACCTTGAAATTAGACTAGCAACCTCATAGGTTCTGCCACAGGATAATCAGATATAAATACGATTGTGATCATGGCTTGTATTTTCTATTTTGTTGTGTGTGACAGAGGCATATTTTATATATATAATTCACCCATTTCAAGTATACAATTCTGTGGGGTTTTTTAAAAAATAAATTTAAATCAGTTTAAAAATATTTCCATATCAATAAGATCCATCATATCTATTAACAGTTAATCTCCTTTCTGCCCACCCTATGTAACCACTGATCTTTCTGTCTTCACTGGAATTTCCAAGAATCTTTGAGCAGATTTTGAATTATTTGTTTCTTTTCAGAGAGGCTGTGATAGCTATATGGTTTATTTGTTTGATAAAAGCAAGACTGTATATGAAGGGCCATTTGCTTCCAGAAGTTTGTCTGATTGTGTAAATTATATTGGTAAGTATAATTCATTTATTGGTGAACTTTAATCCTGAAATAGGGTAATTTTGTTTCTCAACATGATCTGTTTCTCTCATACTTAAAATTTCTATATGTAGTGAAAAATGGATTCATGTAATTTGGAAGATGAAAGCATAGATTTTAAGCCACCAGCAGATATCTCACTTAGAATATTTACATTACTTCCTAAGGTTAGGCCTTTCACAAACAGGAAAATAAAATTCCATTCGTTTTTTTGGTACCAGAGATTGAACTCGGATCCTTGTGCCAGCGAGGCAGGCGGCGGAACCACTGAGCTAAATCCCTGGCCCATAATTCCATTCTTAATAAGCTTACTTTTTCATTGTTCCTTCTCTGAGTGTTTAAATAATTATTTTCGTGTGTTTTTTTTTTACCCCCCCTCTGGTTCTGGGAATTGAACCCAGGCCCCTCTACATGCTGGGCAAGCACTTTACCACTGAGCCCTATCCCCAGTCCTCAAATATTTATTTTATTTTATGAATACTGCTTGATGTTCAAATGTTTTGTCCTATGAAGATTATTCTTTTCCTTTGAAGAAGTTTTTGATCAATTTATATCTCTCCAAACTAAAATTGGGCAAAAAATTATAAAATCAAGAACAAAATTGGGCCTTGGCTAAAATATATATACTTTTTCTTGAGGAATTGCTTACATGTAATAAAATGTGCAGATATATAGTTTGATGATATAGTTTTTTTGGTGGTGGTGGTATTGGGGAAAACCCAAGGCCTTCTCAGAAGTAATACCCACTCCACCCCACCCGCCTTTTATTTTAAGACAGAAGGATTTCACTAAATCTCCAAGTTGCCCAGGCTGAGCTTGAACTTGCAATTCTTCTGTCTCAGCTTCCCAGAATGCTGGGATTATAGACATGTGTCACCATGTGTGCCTAAATTTGAAAATTTTTGACATGTATATACCTGCAAAATCCATACCACAATGAAGATACAGAACATCTCATTTTCCTTAAAAAGTTCTTTCATGTCTTTTTCAAGTCACTCCCCTACCTCCTACCCTGACTTTATTTAACTCTTTTACTAATAGACTTTTTAAGGGCTGGGCATGGTAGCATAGACTTGTAATCCTAGGACTAAGGAGGCTGATGCAAGAGGATTGTTATGAGTTCAAGGACAGCCTGGGCTACATAGTATGTTCAAGCCCAGCCTGAACTTCATAGCAAGACTCTGTCTCCAAAAAAAAAAAAAACCTAATAGAAGTTTTAAAATATTGTTTTAGGATTTTGTTTTTTTTTTTTTGGTACCAGGGATTGAACTCGGGTCCTTGCACAGCAGGCGGCGAAACCACTGAGCTAAATCCCTAGCCCTCAAAATAATTGTTTTAGATTTATAGAAAAACTATGCAGATACTATAGAGTTCTTACGTAACCTCTCCCTCACACATGTAGTTTCCCCTTTTATTAATATATTAGTCTGGCACATTTTTTACAATTAATGCACGAATATGTTATTACCTAAATTTATACTTTATTTAGCTTTCCTTAGTTTTTAATCTAATGTCCTTTTACTATTCTAAGATCTCATGCAGGATACCACATTACATTTTGTTGTCATGTCTCCTTAAGCTTCTATTCTGAGACTTTGCTTATTTTGATGATGTTGACAGCTTTGAGGAGACCAGTCAGCTATTCTGTAGGGTGCTCCTGGTTGGAATTTGTCATTTTTTTTAATCTTTTCTCATGGTTTACACTGAGATTTGAGGGTTTGGGGTTTTTTTTTTATTAAGAAAGATCACAGCAGTAAATTGATATTTTGGTCACAGATAAAGTATATACCATCACCATGATTTATGACTGTTGGTGTTGACCTTGATCATCTGGCTGAAGGTAGTGTTTGTCAAGTCTCTTCATTTTAAAGTTTAATCCACCATCCCTTTATATGCCGTTTTTGGAAGGAAGTCACTACATAAAACCACATGTAATGAGTGAGGAGTTACATTCCCCTTCTTTATGACAGAGTATCTACATAATTAATTGGAATTCTTCTGCATGGGAGATATGCCTCTTTTCTCCCATTTATTAATTTATTCAATCACTTATTTATATTATTTTGGGGTTTTTTGGGGGGGGTTTTGTTTTGTTTTTTTCTTTTTCGTACCGGGGATTGAACTCGGGACCTTGTGCTTGCGCAGCAGGCAGCGAAACCACTGAGCTAAATCCCCGGCCCCTATTTATATTATTTTGGACACATGGCTATTTACTTTATACTTTGGATTATAATCCTTGTTCATTTTATTCAAATTGTTCTATCTTTGACCTTTAGAGAGCTCTTTCCATTGATTCCTGTCCCTTTTTCACATGTCCGCGTCAAGAATGGGAAGACATAATAACAGGCAGTTAATTTTATAAAGTCTGGGATATCTTATTAAAGTGCCATTTATTCTATAAGCATGGTTGAAGCTGAGTTGGTTGTCTAGGAGATATATTTATTATTTTAAAATAGAAAAGACTGACAGAGTGAGGGAAGGATAGGAATGATTTAGAAGTTGAAAAAAGTAAAGAATTTAGATTAATAGAGAATAAAAGGTATTCCAGGTTAGAAAGAAGCAAGAATAAAAGATGTAGAAGCTCTGTGAGGGTAGTGATTATATCATTCATTTTTATGTCCCATTCTACCTGGAGTAGGGCTTTTGTATTGCAGCTCTTCACTAAATGTTATATTGAACTGAATTAAATGGTAAGGAGTAAGTTCCTTTTAGCATCTGTGGGAATGCTGTTTGGGTGGACAGCAAATCACAGAAAATGATAAATGAACTCCCCTGTCTTTAAAAGTAACTCAACACTCCTTTTACTAATTTTCTTGCCTGTAGTACAAGATAGCAAAATTCAGCTTCCAGTTGTACAGCTACGTAAAGTATGGGCTGAAGCAGTACACTATGTGTCTGGGCTGAAAGAAGACTACAGTAGGCTCTTTCAGGGACAAAGAGCAGCAATGTAAGTGGATTATGTTCTTTATAAGCACAATCTCATGTTCATTATATACTCTTGCCAGCTTTCCTTAATCAGTATTGCATGTAGTACTAAAATATTTGGCCAGTTTGAAATGTAATATTTTTATCAGACTTAGAGATTTCTTATAAATGATTGAAACCACCCATTGCTTGACAGTAGTAGTTCCTAAATGATCGTAGTATAAGAACATTGTTTATCGCAGAATATCTCAAGCTAGAGGTCTTTTTTTTTTTTTTTTTTTGGTGCCGGGGATCAAACTCGGATCCTTGGCGCTTGCACAGCAGGCGACAAAACCACTGAGCTAAATCCCCAGCCCATCAAGCTAGAAGTCTTTAGAGATCAGATTCTAGAGATGAGCTATTTCTCATAGATTGATAATAGAAACTGAAGACTTTTGGCTTCTGGAACTTTTATGTTTTTAAATTATTATTCAGTGTTTTTGAGTTCTGATAATTTTGTTTTGTTTTGCTATGTTGTAGGTTAAGTCTTCTTAGATACAATGCCAACTTGACAAAAATGAAGAACACTTTGATCTCAGCATCACAGCAACTGAAAGCTAAATTGGAATTTTTTCAAAAAAGCATTCAGCTTGACCTGGAGAGATATAGTGAGCAGATGACTTATGGAATATGTAAGTTTCTCCATGTATTATATTTTTTAGGAATGTCTAGTCTTGAAGCCACCTGTTGTTTTGCCTTCTTAACACATAACCAGTTGTTACTTTACATTGGAACAAGAGACAGAGTAACTTAGATCGCCATCAGCCATGTTTGTTCTGAATGTTAGCTCTTTTTTTAAAATCTCTTAATTGAACGACTTACTTTCAAAATTGAATAAAATTATTTAGTTCTTGAAAAGCTAAATTACACAGGAGTGATTTAAGAATTGATGAATTTAAAATCTCATTTTAAAAATAGAAACAAAATCTATACTGGAGTGGCTTCTTAGCCAGTGCTATAGATTAAATATTTGTTTTACTCCAAAATTCATATGTTGATATCCTAAGATAATGGTATTTGAAGGTAGGGTTATTGAGAGATGATTAGGTCATGAACATGAAACTTTCATGAGTGAAATTAGTGTTCTTGTAACAGAGGCCTGAATGAGATTCCCTCACCCTTTTTCTGCCATGTGAGGAAACAATATGAAGCCAGCCATCTATGAACCAGAAAGGAAGCCCTCACCAGACAATGAATTTGCCATTGCTTTGGTCTTGGATTTCCTAGCTTTAAGAACTGTGTGAAATGAATTTCTGTTGTTTATATGCCACCCATTATAGATCTTTTGTTTTTAATAAACAGCTTAAGTGGACTAACAAAGCTAGGGAACTATTAAACTACTTATCTTTCTGGAAAAAATAATGCAGATAATTCCAAGGTTTTGTTTATTTCCAAACCACATACTGTGGACGCCTACTGTTTTTTTGTACACAGTTCCCAGATTTTTATTATTTGACTCCAAGCTTGTCTCCCTTCAGATGTACTAAGGAACTGGAAAAAACATAGTTAAAATTTGAATAAACTGAAAGAACCACCACCAGCATTTCTGATGTGTTTCAAAAACTAATCATTTTTTAGGAAAAAAAAATACATTTTTGCACTTGCTCTCAGAATAAATGATCCAAAGTGTCCCATAAGATGAATACATTTACTCCCCAGAACAGGTGCTGTGATTGATGTTTTATTTGTGTTTGTATATTGTAGGCATTCTGGTGAATGACAAAACATTATAATTATTTCATTAAAACATCTTTGACTTGTCAAAGTTGTTCTTTACAGTTATAAAAGATTGAGGTAGGTCTGTATGTGCTGGTATTAAAAGATCACTTGGGTCTTTGGTTGGCAGTGATATTTTAAGTTGTGGAAAAAGCAAAGAGAAGTATGTATATATTCCCCAACTTGTGAGGGAATAAGATATGTGTCTAGTAATAAATAATAATAATGAGATCTCTTGGGTTATAGGAGAGGAGAAAAAAGTCTTTTTATATCCTTCTATACTGTTTGGCTTTTTAAAAAACATTCATGTGTTACTTTTTAAAATAATTTTTAAAGAAAAATCTACCTGTATTGCTTCCCTAGGAGTTCCATAACAAAATACCATAAAGTAGGTGCTTAAAACACTGAAATTTATTATCTTACAATTCTGGAGGCCAAAGGTCCAAAATCAAAGTGTTAGCAGGATATGATCCCTCTGAAGCCTGTAGGGAAGTATCCTTCTTTGCTTTTTCTTATTTACCCATGGTTTGCCAGCAGTCCTTGGTGTTCCTTGGTTTGAAGCTGTAGCACTTTAGTCTGTTTCCTTATTGTCACATTGCACCCTTGTGTATCTATCTCTGTGTCTTTTCTCGTAAGGATAATGGTCATAATGGATTAAGGTCCTAGCTTCTCCAATGTGAGTATGTATTTAGCTGATTATACCTGTAAGAACCTGTTTTTAATAAGGTGACATTGTAAGGTATTAGAGGTTACAACTTCAACATATATTTGGGGGTGGGTGTCACACTTTAACCCATAACATCTTTGATGTAGATACAGTAGGAGGTAGGCAGGCCAGTAATTTAAGCTATGGCTATTTCTGAGATAACCAATGTAGACTTTTGTTTTAGCTTCAGAAAAAATGCTAAAAGCTTGGAAAGAAATGGAAGAAAAGGCCATCCACTATGCTGAGGTAAAATCACTGAGCTTATTCTGGGTGCTTATTAATTCTTGGTGTCTCCGATTGTCTTTGGTTTTGATATAAAAAGAATGTCTATTACATTAGCCCTGTTACATTTGTCTGAATTTCAGACAAATATTTAATAGATGCTTTGTATTTATAGAGGAAGGTATCATAGTGGATAAAAACAAGGGCTTTGAACAAATTACTTAGCCTCACTAAACTTCAATTTCCATATTATTTTGTAGGGACAATACTTTTTATAGTAGGGTTATGGAGACTAAATAGGAATCAGTAATAAATGTAGGTCTATTATTTTTGTGGCTGGTTTAAGATAGCTGTACATCCTGGTTTACATAGGACAATCCCAGTTTATCTCTGGTACCTTTAGTATTTCCTTTCACTCTCAAAATTATACTGGTGTAGATAATAAAATATATGAGTCCCCTAGAGATAGACAGATTATTTTTAGGTGGCTGGTTCCTCCCTTATACTGTACTGCTATCGATGGTTCTAGATTATTGTTCTCCTTGTGCCAGTACATACTTACCCTGAGAATGTGGGAAGGGGTAGTTGATATCCTGTAGCTCAGATGCAAGTAGTGCCACTGGTTTTGTTTACCATGTTTTTTGTCTTGTTGGTAATACTTCTACAAACATTTTACTTCTCCAGGAAAAAAAAGCAAAGCTAGTAGTATATTGCTGTCAGGAGAAGAAAGAAAGTAGCTTAGAAATAACTATGTTCTTATGTGAAAGATTTGCAGAATATAAAGGCTAAAAAGGCCTTAACAAAATTAGTGTTTCATGTTAAGTTAGTTCGCCTACTGCCAGAGCAGACCATTCTCTATCCTTAAAGTCTGAGTTTTGTTTGGTATTATGTGGTGGTAAGCCTGTCATTTTCTTTTTGTTTTCATTATTCTTTAGGTTGGTGTCATTGGATACCTTGAAGATCAGATTATGTCTTTGCACACTGAAATCATGGAGCTACAGAAGAGCCCCTATGGAAGACGCCAGGAAGACTTGATGGAATCTCTGTAAGGATGTATTTATGTTGTCAGACTTATTGTCTATAATTTTTTATCGCATTGTTTTTTCTGCTTACATCTAGCAAGTGAAGCTTCTGTGTAGTTCTTTTCTATAGTTTTCCTTTCCCCAAATATATCATATTTTCTTTTCTTTTTTTTTCATGTCATATTTTAAAAGGAAGCTATTCTTAGTTACAGGAAATTTTGGAAATAACTCTTTGGGTTGACCTTTGTTCTTTAAAAAGCATCTTTTCATGAGTGTTATGAAGAATTTTCCAAGTGTATCCAAATTGCAAACTGTGTCCTTACTTACTGTATTTCTGATCCAAGGTATTGTCTCTTAAGTGCCCTAATGAGATTAATTTCCTATATGTCTGTTTTAGAAACCAGATTTTTCTGTCTAATCACAAGCCATAATTTTTGCTTATTTAAATGTTTCTAATGCAAGAATATTGTATTTGTGGTGGGGAACAGAGCAGGTATGAGGTATACTACCCTTTGCATTTTATTTTTACTCAGTGAAATGCTCTATAAAATAGTGATTGGCAACTTGTACTTGCTTTAAAATGAGGATCATTATGCATATAGTATTATTCATTTCAAGAGTCATTAAATTACCTTCACATAGAAGCGTGTTTTTCTTTTGTAGGGGACAGCGTGCCATTGATCTGTATAAGCAGTTAAAGCACAGACCTGCAGGTAAGACACTTTTGTCACAGTTCTTAGAGATATTTTAGGAAACTCAATATTTGAACAAATTCAGGGAATTTTAAATATTTTAAAAACTGTAAAATGAATTTCTTTTTTGGTATTACCATTAAAACACCTAAAGTATAATAGCTTTAACTTTGTGAGAATTTAAGAGATTAGAAGGGGACAGTAATAACGAAATTGTGTAGAAAAATTTTAAACATGGAAATCAAAAGAAGGAATTGAAGAGAAATAAAAGGAACTCAAAGAAGAAGAAACAGAAATCTGTATGGAAAGATGGAAAAAAGATGCTTAAGATTAAGGAAGTTGGAATGAATTTGATGCAGTTGGTTAAGTGTGGAATGGTGAAAGAGAAGGCTTATGTTTCAGGCAAAAGCACTTTACCTTGAAAATGATGCGTGTATCTATACTGGTCACTGATTGCTTGTATCATTGGCAAAATGAATCCTATTGAACGTCTGCTAACTGCAGAGCATGTTCTGCTGGAAAGACCCATGGTTGGGAATCAGAAGACTTGAATTGTAGATTGGATACTTTGCTGTGGTACTTTACTGACCAGCTGATCTTGGCACATTTCCCTGTATCTCATTTCTCTTTTCTAGAAAATGATATTGAAACCTGTCTTTCCTAACTCAATTAATATGTCACGGCAGTATATGTTAGAGTGTGTTTGTGAAAATGCTTTGAAAACTATAAGGTGTTACATACCTGCAAGATACTGTTATTTAGTCAAAAATTTTTTGTTTTGAAGGGATGTGGAATTAAAAAGTGAATTTTGTGCCCTAGAGTGCAATTTACTTAAATTAAAAAATTTAAAATTTATAAGCACATAACAGCACATGCAAATTAATATATACTTGACATGGTACTTAAAAACAACATAATTTTCTCATTTTTTTATTGCAGTGGAATTTGTTCATTTTATTTTTGTAAACATTTATAAAGTACATGTAAGATGGGCACCTAACTTTTTTGGTACTGGGGGTAGAACTCAGGACCTTGTGCTTGCGAGGCAGGCAGTGGCACCACTGCTTATAAAGACTTTGTTTCCATTTTTTCCTTTTCTCATATTTTTTCCTTTCCCTTCTTTCCTGCCTTCTTTCTTTGAGGCAGTGAAAGTTGTCTTTTGTTTTTGTTTGGGTTTTTTTTTGAGACAAGGTCTGGCTATGTAATTCAGGATGGCCTTGAACTCACTATGTAGCCCAGGCTGGCCTTGAACTTATGGCAGTCTTCCTAAGGCAGTGAAAGTTTGATAGATTATCCTACTGTTTCTAAATAAGTGATGTTAATCATATGAGAAAAATTGGTCTCTTGGCCAGAGGCTGCATATGTGTGTGGGCATAGATTAGTAGTAAAGCTAGCCAAGATTGCTGTTCTAAACACAGGCAACTAATGTCTCTGAAAATACGCTGATACTGTGTGTGTGTGTGTGTATCTATTACATATACATATGTATATGTAATATCTATACATATGTGTATATTTACATGTCTATAGATACACATACATGATGTGTGATTGAAAAATACAGTGTTTAGATTTAAGATATTTTTACAGTAAAAAACACGTTGCCATTGATCCACCTCAAAATACTCCCTCTTACTTCAGTCACACTTATCCAATCTTTCTTGCCATTTTCTGAAGCAGTTCTAGAGTCCTCTTTCAAATCTTTCACTTTCATGGGTCCCTTGAGGTCCTGAATCAGTTCAGAACACTTACCTTTCATGGACTTTTGGACTTTGGGGGAAAACCGGAAGTAATACAGTGTCAGATAAGATGAATAAGGATGAGGACATACCACAATGTTTTTACAAGCCTATCTTTCTGTTGGATAGCACTGAACAACAACATTCACCATGTTTTTTGTTCCGCCTCCTAAAGGTATTCACCAAAGAGAACTTACATAACTGCTTTAGAAAGTGGCAAGGCTGATGGGATAAGTGTGCTCAAGCAAGGGGGATTATTTTGAGGGGGATTAATAGTAATGTGTCTTTTGCTCTAATAAATTTTTAAAATTTAAATAGTCACCATGTATTTTGATCATATTTGTACATCTGTATATACATTATGCACATAACTTTGTTTTTTGATATATAATTAACCATTGAGGTATATCCCTAGACTTTAGAATTTATTTATAGGTAATCTTGAAATTTTAATCCAATTTTTTATTTAAATGGAGATGTTTGTTAGCCTTCTTTCAGACTTTTAAGTTTTTGAGAAACTTTTTGCTTGGAGACTGGTACATTCTGCAACAGAAAGGTTGTACTCACTGATTAAAATCTTTTATAGATCACTCCTACAGTGACAGCACAGAGATGGTGAAGATCATTGTGCATACTGTTCAGAGTCAAGATCGTGTTCTCAAGGAGCTGTTTGGCCATCTAAGGTAGAAAAATTGTTTTATTTCCTCCTAAAAAGCATTTTTTTCAAAGTACCACCTCTTTTTGATGAGTATTCCAAGAAGAATTCTGGCTGTATCTTGAGTAGCTTGGCCATAACTACATACACATTGCATGCATTTTTATTACCTGTTTGCATGTACTACTTTGGATATCAGTCATTAAATGTAATGCTGATTGTAGTTCATTTCCCCAGCTGGGTTTTGGGAGTATGGTGTATAGTCTTGAGGGATATAACAAGTATCTGACGTTGATTTAATCTCTCCAGCAAGCTTTTGGGCTGTAAGCAGAAGATTATTGACCTACTCCCCAAGGTAGAAGTGGCCCTCAGTAACATCAAAGAAGCCGACAATACTGTCATGTTCATGCAGGGAAAGAGGCAGAAAGAAATATGGCATCTCCTTAAAATTGCCTGTGTAAGTATTTACTAATGAATTATTTAATATGATATTGCTTGCTACTATTATCTGCAAAAGGGATTTTTATCAGCACGAGCTGTCTCCTTGAAGATGTATGTTTAATATTAGGTTGATGCTCATGTTCCTTGCTTGGTATCTGACTAGCAATGGAAATGCAGGACTTTTGCACTGTCACTCTCCTTTCCCGTTAATTTATTTTTATAGTTCTCCTGGCACTGGACCAGTGTGACATCTCTACTCAACATGGAGAAAGAGATGGCTGACTAGTTAGTGAAAGCAGCACTATGTTCAGCCGGGTTTTTTTCTTTCCCTTTCAGTTAAAGCAGTTTTAGAGAAGTAAATACATTCAGTTTAGTCAATGAAGATAGGAACCAAGGACAGTATAGTTAATAATGGTATATAAAGGTAGGAATTGTTTTGTACAGAAATACTCTGTACAATAAACTAGTGATGAAATGTAAATCTTAGGAGTATGGTAAATTATGTGAATCAATAGAGGTGCTTACTTATAATCTTATGATTTTCTTTTTCTTTTTCTTTCAGACACAGAGTTCTGCCAGGTCCCTTGTAGGATCCAGTCTAGAAGGTGCAGTAACTCCTCAGGCATCAGCGTGGCTGCCTCCAACTTTAGCAGAACGTGAACATTCTCTGTCATGCGTGGTAACTCCTCAAGATGGGTGGGTTCCTTTGTAACAATAGATAGTTGTGTTTCCAGAACAGTGGTAGGAATGAAACAGTAAAGCGCAGTGAAGGAGGTCTTCAGTACCTTCAGACCAGGATTGAGTCTCAACTGTCCCTTCATAATAATTTTGGGCAATGTACTTGATTTTTTTAATGTCTATTCTTTCTCACCTGTAAAATGAGAATTTCAGGTGAAAATGTAAAAATTTGATTAGACAATGTGTGTAACATGCTTAAGTGGTAAATATTCAACAAACATTACCTGTAATTATTTATTCCAAGTTCTAAGACCTTCCTGTTATTGGTGTCTCAATTTTTTTTACCCAAACTTTATTCCTTCCTTTACTATATCTCTATGAGAAATTATGCTATCTTTTTGCATTTATCATTTTGGGGTCCTTGATTGCCCTTTTAATAAATTATTGAGATTGAATTTACTGTATAATTTAGTATTTTTAAAATTAGACTTTTTTCAGTGCCTTAAATCAACTTTGCAAATAATTCAAGTTTGAAGTCCTGTATTTTCTTTTATTAGTTCCTACTCTTCTGCTAAAAGCTGAATGACTATCCATCTCTGTTATTTTCTCAGCATAAGATGTGCCGTATCCAGAGCCAGTGGCTCTTTGCTAGCTTGTGTATTTGTCACTTTTCTCACAACTCATGGAGACCTCTACAGCACCAGCATTTCCTGGAAGTTCTGCCCATAATTAGTTTTGCAGAAGTGCAGCCATGTTACATCACTGCTCAGGAGGTCATGCAATTGCACATTCTATACGCTACTTTTATGAGAGAAAAAGCACATGGCAGGAAGGCAAGCTGATACCAGGTATTTGATTTTTTTAAAGGAAAGCAAGTTCAGGGTCTGTCTTGTCATCATTATAGATTTGGCCTAAAGTAAAACATCCACAAATATAGCACAGATTATATAGTGTTAAGGAAATATTCTGTGATCAGAGTTAAAAGAAATAAAGTTTAATACATTTTCAACCTTCTGCTTTTAGTAAAGACATTTAGGTTTTTTAGGGGACATTAATGGTTGCAAATGGTACATCAATAGGTAATTTCCAATTTGAGGTTGTGGTTCTTGGCCAAAGTGCATCTGATAGATATTTTATTTTCAGGTAGGAGTACATTACAAAGGAAAACTTTTTTCAGTTATAATGTACGTATTTACTTAACTACAGAGGGTTAGAAACTGTTAACCTAAGTTTTTCCACCTGTTAAATAAGAGCTGAATCAGCATTTAATACTAAGCTAATAGTGGCTATCATGCCAGAACTGACTTTGGTAGAGGAGGTGCTGAGGGTTGGTAAATGGTGAGTATAGAGGCCATATGGAAGGAGAAATCATGAAGGTAGAAACCAGAATCAGGATCTTCTTTAAAAATAAACTTCCAGGGATAGTTCTGGTCAGCTCCCCTGTCACACTGTTTTTTGCCGCTGTCATTAAGAGTCAGCTTGCTTGTTTTCCTTTTCATTGCTGTCATCTATTGTTTCCAACCAAAGTTTTTCATCCTTCCTGATCTTTGCAGAACAAGTTGTACTTTTGAATCTTCTTCTCTATACATATGTATGTGAATTAAGCTTGCAGGTATTTTTCAACTTGTAGGGAAAAGGAAATAATCCAGAATCAAAAAGTGGCTTTCCATCTGTCCATGCAACAAGAATCTTTTTCACCCTTAACATTTTCTGGGGAAAAATGTATGTTAAGTGCTACTTAATGTTTCAAAGAAAAGTCTGATTGGAGTTATAGTGGACTATTTTTTTCTTGTGCTATGGGAATTGAACACAGCCTTGTGCATGGTAGGCAAGAGCTGTACCATTGAGCTTCATTTTCAGCTCTTTTTGTATTTTGAAATAGGGTCTCTAGGTTGCCCAGGCTGGCCTCAACATTGCAATCTTTCTGCCTCTGCCTCCCAAGTAGCTAAGATTACAAATGTACACGACCCTAACCCCTTTTATAGTGGACTTACCATTAGAGACAGCAGTGTGGATGAAGTGGGACTCTGCCTCTGGGTGGGAGAGATGAAGGAACTGAACATTGCAGGAGTTAGCTACATTAGGGTGCTGGGTTGCAGCAAGGACAATAATCATCCTTATTTAGAAGACCAGAAGGTAGAGGAAGTTTATGTTTCTTTGCTGAATTTGAAAAGGCTTTGTTCTTTCATCCCACAGGGAGAGTTTAGCACAAGTGATAGAAGAAAATTTGAACTGTCTTGGCCATTTAAATACTATTATTCATGAAGCAAATGAGGAACAGGGCAATAGCATGATGGTAAGCTTTGTGTGGATATTAGTGTGTGTTTTATGTATGTTGGTTGCAAAAGGATTTAACTTTCTGTGCTACCTTTATATGGCATTCTGGATGCATATAGGTAATAGGAGTACTAGGAAAAAAGAGCATTTGAAGAATGTCCTCAACCTCAAATCCCCATCTTTTACTCAGGGATGTGCTAGGGTTACATTATCAGTAAACATCAACAGTACCATTTTTAGTCAGATTAAATTTTCTTTGCAATGTGAGCACTGAAATTGAATGATTTGTACCATTTTGCTTCAGCAATTTCTCCAGTAAGATTGACCTTGCACAGTAACTCAGGTCCAATACCTGCTTCATATAAAATGAATTATCTTAATATGTTTGTAATTTAAGAGAGTGCTTATATTACTTTGTGATTACTATGAACTATTGATTTGTTAGAACTAGGTGAAACTAAAATGTGCACTGAATTAACAAGTGCTGCATTTAATCTCAGTGTCAACTTTATTTTCTAAGGATAATTATTTGCTTCAAATTTTTATGAAAACTTTGAAGTACTTTTTGAAATTAGAGAATAAAGTGAGCTAAACTCTAATTATAATTTATGTATTTTTGATTTTTCAACTTTAGATTTTGTGTGTGTGTGTGTGTGTGTGTGTGTGTGTGTGTGTGTGAGACAGGATTTCACTAGGTGGTTCAGGCTGGCCTTGAACTCACTGTATAGCTCAAGCTGGCCTTGAGATCACAGCAGTCCTCCTGCCTCAGCTTCCCAAGTGCTGGGATTATAGGCATGCACCACCATGCCTGGCTCAGTTTTTGTTAAAAATGTCTAAAAATATAAAAATGAACACCCATTTATTTACCACTTATAGTAAACTTCTAATTGTGACTTTTTCATGCCTGGTTTTAGAATCTTGATTGGAGTTGGTTAACTGAATGACTTGCCACTTGTTCACTGCCCTCAAACCTATGGAAGTTGTTGCTACAAATGTTGGAAATTTGTTTTTCCTCCATGAAACCATTCTTCACATACTAGTCAGTGGAAGAAAGGGCTATATTCAGAAACTACGCGAGGCTTTACTCTTGATTTTGAGTAATTTTAACCTCCACATAGGATTTTATGAAAAATCGATGGATGTAATTAAATATTTGTTTTAATACTACAATTACTTAGGAGCATCATTGTGACTTATGTTTTCAAACTTAGTAAAACATTACTTATTTACCTGACTAAAAATATCTTCTGAAGTTTTAACTTTTAGGCATAAAGCTAAACATAGTATTGTACACAGAGAAGTCATCTAACATCCATTTTAAGTAAATGTTGCCTACTTGTGTTTTTATGGAAGAGATTGCTTACAAGTAAAATCGTACTTCTTGAAGAATAAATCCTACCTCCTTGTGTTGCACTCAACTAGTGCTCTTCCTGGCATCATAGGGAGTTGACTTAATCCTATTTTAATTTTATGGTACATTTAATAGTATCCCCTTCTTACGGAAGGGATTGTGCATCCATGCCTTCAATTCCAGTTGATTGTCATAAATCATGTGTGCTATATGTATTTAAGATGTACATTTAATAATATCAAAGAGAAAGATGTCTGTTAATTTATAATTATTTGAAAGCTTATGTTTTTTCATTTGTAAAAAAAGGTCATTTGTTTAGTTTTTTGTGTCTTATAATACAAGTGTATAAAGATCTGCATTCCCTTATCTGTAATTGTAATTTCAAAATCCAAGAAATTCTGAAAACAAGGTTTTCATAAGTGACAAAATTAATTTGCTTACATATCTAATCTGACAAACCGTTTCACTCATTTCATGTGAATATTCATTTATTTTCCTGCAGAAATATTAACATGTTTGATTACTGGGGAGGGGTTGCTACTACTTAGGTTAATGTAATATGGTATATGCACAGTACCTTTTTAAAATCTGAAAAATGTCATAATTTTGAAACATCTGCCTCCCAGAGCTTTCAGATAAAGTATTGTGGCTCTCTTATGTTAAACAATTTAGAAGGTATTATTTGTTTTAAAAATGTAAAATGCTTTTATATTCTAGTTTTTCACTTTATGTATTAAATGATTTTTAAATTAAATTTTGAATCTATTCATTATAAAAACCAGATTGTAATACAACAGCTGAATATGGCTTGGGACAATGTGAAAGTTAACGAAGTAGAAGCAGAGCACAAAATAAGCAGTCCCTGGCTTTGTGGTGGTGGTTGTTTGCAGTACTGAAGATTGAACCGAAGGCCTTTGGACCAACATACATCTGCAGCCCTTTAAAAATTTTTTTGAGATAGGGTCTTGCTAAGTTACCCTGGATGGGCTCAAACTTGGTGTTCTTCCAGCCTCAACTTCCCAGAGTGCTGGGATTACAGACACGTGCCACCACATCTGGCATCCCTGTATGTTCTTTTGGAATTAAATAGGACTTATGGTAAAGTAAGTGTTGGTCATTTTGGTAGTCAGAAGGATTCGGCAAGGGAAGACATTAAATACAGGACACATAACTTATAAGTTTATTTTATGATAATTACCCAAAGAGTCAAATGCAAAGGAGTGCAAGAGATTAACCACACACTGGAAGCCCAAAGGATTCAGCTGAGGGCCTAGATCCCACCAGTTTCCCACACAAGTCCAGCTAAGAGTCCAAGGCAATATCCTCGAGTCCAGCCAGTGGCCTAGAGCCCACAGCAATGTCTTATGCTTGTCCATATTAAGGATCTACACCTGGAAGGCCCAAAGGCCAGTGGTGGAAGCCAGAAAATCCATGCTGGTGAGATGAAGGATTTGTGCCACCAAGCTGAGGAATCCACATTGGAGCCAGGAAGTGATGCTCACAGTAAAGGTCAGAGCTCCCCTGATGAAAACAGCAGCCATTCCCAATGACAGCAAGGTCCCAAGCTCCTCCAATGATAATAGCCTAGTTTGCATCAGGAGCAGCAAGCTTCGCCTAGCAGAACTGGCCAAGATCTTCTCCGGTTCTCTTTTTATGGCTGTTGGTAACAATCTTCAGGTGGATCCTCTGCGCCCGAACCATGCTGATTCAGTTTAGCTGGGAGTTAAAAGTTGACTATTAGTCAATCCACTACAGGCATCTTCTTTGATATAGTTTCTTTGAGATGTCTTATCACCACTCTCTGTGTTTAAAAACCAGTTCACATGGTTCGGGTCTTGTCCTATAAACTGATGCCATCATCTCACCAGCCCCGTTTTTGCTAGGGGTATTGTTTTTCCAGTTACTCAAGTTTGAAACGTTGGAGTAGTCTCTTTTAATCAGGTATCACTATTTCTCTAAAGAAAGAAGTGTGTCTCTTGCTTCCCTGGTCCTAGAAGGTTTTATTTGTTTCCAGTACTGGAGATTGAATCCAGAGACTCGTGTACATTAGGCAAGTGCCTTCCACTGAGCTACATCTGCAACTCTTTAAAAGATTTTAATAATAAACATTTATTTGGTACCTATTGGTCCGAAGATAATAATCTAGGGGGCAAGATGAGAAACAACACAGACAGTACAATAAAAGTGTTTGCCTGGTAGCCTGAACATTCCAGGCCATCCAAACATTGTAAATATTGTTTAAGGATTTTTGTGGCAATCATGCATTTTCCAAATATTGTAATAATTGATAAGAATTTTGCTACATTGTGGGGTCCATTTTGATGGTGTGTGGCTGAGGTGATGTCGGGGCAGCCTGATCTGTACGATTTGGACAGTATGAGTCAGTACAGACTGTTATAGTGAGATTAGGCCAAACTTCTTTCTGATACATGAGTGCACCAGTCATTTTTTGTTGGATAACAGCTTTTCAGAGTTGAATGGAAGTTGTGAACTGTATACTACATTTCTTTTCCCCAATCTAAACATTACTGTGACATACAAAGAGTATATCCAGAAAACACAGGAGCTAGCAAGTTATTCTTCATTCTTTTTTATTTTTGGAAGTTAAAATAGCTAAGCTCTGCAAATATTTATCTGGAACATAAAATTCCAGACAGTCCTAAGCAATAAAATCAAATGAACAGTATAGGTAACTACATTTATTGAAGGGAGTGCTAGTTTCTGGCAAGACTTGGTTTAATGAAGACTTGAGTTGATTCTATTTGTCTCTTCTCATTTCCACTGCTCCTCCCATTATAATCTGGGGCCTGCACTTTCCTAACCACTTTACTTCCCGTCCTTTAACCACTATGTCTCCACTCTCAGCCATTTTGCATATTCACTGACCCTAAAGCACTGCTTTCTCATATTTCCCTGCCCAAGAGATTAGAGGACCTTCCAACCCTCATCTACTTTGTCAAGTTGTCCCACCACTACTACCTTCCAAGGCTAACACTATTTCTGCCCAACTTACTCAAATATGATGCCCTTGTTTCCCTTGTATTCATCCATCTCCATGCTATTTTTAGTAGGTGCAGAATTCTTGTTAGGTCTAAAATGTCCTCCAAAAGTCTCAGGTTTTAGAAGTGGGGCTCTCAGAATGTGATTGGATCATGAGGTTGCTAACCTCATCCATTGATGAGTTCATAACTGAATGGGCTATTAGGAGGTAGGGCCCAGTTGAATAAGGTGGGTCAAGGGGGGTATAACTCTTGCTCTGGCTATCTTGCTTTTCTGCTTTCTAACTGCCATTGAGTTGAGCAGCTCTCCTCTGTCATGTCCTTCCACGTCAAGCCCTTTATGCTTTGGAGTCAACCAACTGACCATGGACTAAAACCTGAAACCCTACACTGAGTTGAGCCTCGCCTTTAAGTTGTGAGTGTCAGGTATCCTATAGGTATTTCGTCACAGGGATGGAAAATTAACTAATACAATTTTTAAAGAACTGAAGAATATGAAGTGAAAAATATTTTCTTATGTCTTTTAGTCATCCAGTTCACCTACCAGCAAAACAATGCATTGCAGATTTTCTAAGTCTGGTCCTAGCCTATCGACCACTCCTTTCCAATAAACAAGGCTATAAAGTCAGTTTACTCCTCCTTTGGGCTCCCTGGAGGACCTTACACACACACACATACACACACACACACACACACACACAGTCCTCACATGCTTAGCCTGTTTTCTGGAGCACCTTCATAAGTCCTCTTGGGTCAGCATTCTGACACATAATAGATAAAGGAGTGAATAACGATACAGTTGGATCGATACAGTTGGATCTAATAGCTTTCTCTTCTGAACTTTAGTTTTTTGTTTTGTTTTGGGTATCTGGGATCAAACCCGGGACTTTGAGCTTCGGAAGCAGGCGGGGGCACCACCACTGAGCTAAATCCCCGGCCCTCTCTTCTGAACTTTAATAGCACTTTTCTTTGCAATAAGTACAGATTCCTGAAGTACAGGTTCTGTGCCTGATGCATACATGCTTGCCGCACAACAGGGGCTCAGCATAAGCCTCCGAAGGATAAATAAAAGGAGTAGGCAGCTACCACACTGAGTGAATGAGTGGGTTCTTTGTACAAGAACAAATTGATCGGTCTCCTATCCAACCGGCTTTCTCTTTTCCTCTGCCTGCCTTTTTACTATAAACTTTCCTCCTCGACTGAAGCAAATGATCAGAAGTGCTAGAGAAGCAGCAAAGTGGGCCCCAAATCGTGAACGGTCTGTTGCCTGGGAGAATTTTGTCCTACCCGCACCCCGTCTCAATGGCCGATGGGCGGAGCGGGGCGTTGCGTCTGTGTGCGTAGGTTCCTCCTCGCGCAGCCGTAGTGCTGGGCGAGTGGGCGGGACCAGCGGTTGGTAGCTTTTAACGCGGCCCGGCCACAGAGGCGGCTGCACGTGCGGGCGGAGGAGATGCGTCACTGATCGGTGAGGCGCGGTGGAGGGGTCGGCCTCCCTTCGGTGCCCGCTGCTGAGCCCCTCGTCAGCGACAGTTGGACAGAGGGTATCACGACGCTTACTATGCGGGCTTGGGCCGACCGGGCGGAGGGGCTGGCAGGGGGAACGTGGGCTCTACAAGGAGCGAAGAATAAGGGGAGAAGAGGACAGGATTCCCCGGCTCGGCCTTCAAGAGAGGGCTCCAGGTCTTGTAGAAGGAGAGGGTGGAAGTTGAATGGGTGGGCTCTTCACTCATAGAACTGAGGGTCCTTTCCTCCCTCACCCAGGAGTAACAAGGATGAACATGACTCAAGCCCGGGTTTTTGTGGCTTCAGTGGTGGGACTGGTAGTTGTCCTTCTCTACGCTTCCATCCACAAGATCGAGGAAGGACACCTGGCTGTGTACTACAGGTGAGCGACAGGTGCAGTCAGACTGGGCTGTAGAGCAGATGGAGGGGGTATTCCCGTCAGAGGAGCGTCTGGTCTGGGAAGTTGCTCCCTCAGCACCGTCCTGGAACCTGAGGAGGCTTTTGCGGAGCGATCTTTAGGTATTGGGCGGTCTTTGTGCATAGGTTAAGACTCCCTGGGAGGGAAGGAAGAAGTCACTGTGTAACTGAAGAGATGGGACAGATCACTTCTTAGAGTGTGTATAGGCTTTTAGCTTGCCACTATAGATGCTCTTTAGGAAATGTGGTCCTGTTTATGGATTTTTCCTTAGGTTTTTCTCATTAAAAACTTCACAGTGTCTGATTATGTCTTATAAGCTCTTGATAACCGTGACAGTTTTTAAATCCTCAGGGTGCATAAGCGCAACAGTAATAGGCTACCCTTTTCCCTCCTTCCTGTTTCTTCCAGATAGAGAGATGGTATGGGATGTATTGCTGTCTGGTTGAGCTGGCATAGCTTTTCCTTCAAGACAAACACCACAGGTTCTTTTTAATATAGACTAATAAAAAAGAAGCCAATTTGTAGAGAAATTAGGATAGTAGTATATTCAAAAAAAGCTTCGGTTTTTTGCCTGTTTCCATCATCCCCTCAAAACTGGTATTTCTACTTTCAGATCCATCCTGAATCCTAGAAAAAAGTACAGTTTTAGTGATATGTCTTAGCAGATGGAACTCCAGCATAATAAATGACAGTTTAGTCCAGATTTCCATTCAGTTTGGTATTGTCTTTCAACAGTAAAACCAAGGAAAGATTTCAGTATATGGCTCTCACAGAATTATTAATGAGCCTAAAACAGTTCATCTTTTATTAGATAATATGACTTATTTGTAAGCCTATTTATATTTTCAGAACAGGAAGTTAAGTTTTATGAATTTCTTATTCACTGTGCGAAATAGAACTTTTGTTCGTTTGCTCCCAGGTTACCTCCTTTCTACAATTTACAGGCTGTGATTTCATAGTTCTCACATTCCAAAATTTGATGAACAAGTCCATATCTTATCTACTTGTAGTCTCAGTCCTCTTACCCTTCGTCTTTCCATGCTAATTTTTTGTTTTTATACTGAAAATATGTTCCTGGTATTTTGATTTTCTTGGAGATAGATTAAAAGAATCACGAATCTCAGAAATTTTCCCTTTCTTGAAAGTTTACATTGTCTTCTTTTATTGAACCCGATGATTAAATGGATAATGCTTTGATTTGCCTCTTGTTATGTACATTAAAGTATTCAGCTGGGAATTTAGAATTTTTTTATCCAACTATTTCTCAGGAGACTTAAAGACTAAAGAGAATCCTTTGAACATGAGACCCAGAAGTATGGTTAGTTGAGCTTATGAAACAAGCTGTAACATCAGCAGTTCGGTTTGATCTTTTCACATTTTTAGGTGTGATAGATACTGTAAGCAGCAGTTGTTCATCATCAGTAACTCCTATTAGAGAGGCTTTAATAGTTTAGAACAGTGATGGTGAACCTTTTAGAGTTTTCAAAGAAACAAACAGCCCTGATGGCACATGTGTCGTAGGTTCATCACCTTTGGTTTAGAGGATGAGTAAGAATGAATATTATAGGATTTTTAGATTTGGAAAGAGAATTTCTCTCTTTATAATCTTGTCAAATTGAAACATCTTTTTTGCAGGGGAGGAGCTTTACTAACTAGCCCCAGTGGACCAGGCTATCATATCATGTTGCCTTTTATTACTACGTTCAGATCTGTGCAGGTGAGTGATTTCTAGGGATTCCAGATAGACAGGTGTGACAGGAGTTACCACACCATTGGGTGGAAATGGATTTCCTTATTGCTTAAGCATATGTTAGTATTTACTTAAATGTAGGAGGTAAGTTCGGAGTACAGTTGTCAGCACAACTTATGATTTGGAACCACCTCACTGTTGAAGAAAATTAGAAGTGTAAGCTAGGCAGTGTGAAAGGACTAACTACCACCTGCATCAGGTAGATTTTCTGTTACTACTGTCAAAATAAAAACAAGAATTAGGAATACAACTAGAAATAAAAAACAGTGATTACTTGGTTTAGAATAGTGTTTGGTTTCCATAGAGGCAGGTTCCTTGGCTACTGTTAACCTAGAGGATCTGAAATTTTATGCAGTTTTCCTGCCTTTCAATTTTTGCCTGGTACATTAAACACAATTTTATGTGGAACATTAGTGAATGTGATATTTTAATAGCATTCCAGGACATTTGAAATAATTGTCTCATTATTAAAAATTTGGCCATGGAAAACACTTAATATCTTTTGATGTAGCAAGATGATAAAATATGATTAGGTGTGATTACTTTTGCAAACTCAATGTGATTGTAAGTCTTTGGCTTCAGACACTATCATCTGCTGCTAATTTTTTAGGAGTCAGAAAATTTAATATTATTTAATCTTATAATTTTAATTCTAGGCTTCCTGTTAAATGAGAGCTCAGTTATGAATAGCTAAATTCCCCCAGATTTCCTTACAGTTCCCTTTTAAATGACTTAGAAAAAAATTGTATCTATTAAAATGAAATATGGTGTTCTTTTCAGAGTAGCACTGATTTCCATATTGCTTTTCCATATTTATTCATTCTTGCCGTGGTTAATGTTTTTACCTCTTCACTCATCTCTCCCTTTATCCCTTCTTTCCTATCTCTTGGTAGCCATGTTAAGACTCATCTCAAATTCCTTCACTTCTCATCTATATCTCTTAAACTATATAAAGTTTTGGCCTTTGATCCTATTTAGTAATGTTGTCTTGTATTCTCTAAGTTTCTGTGTGTGTCTGTGCGTGTGTGTGTGTGCGCGCACGTGTGTGCATGCACACGCACTTTCCAGAAAATCTCTAATCTTAAAGGCAGGAAGTGCAACACATTCATATTTCTGATCTTTTTGCTCATGGTAGAAGTTGTTAAATTGAGTTAATTTCTCAGGAAACAATGTGATATAGTGAACATGGGGACTTTGCTCTGCATCAGTTAGTTGTTATGACTTTGATAAAATCACTTAATTGTTGGAGACCTCAGTTATTCCTCTGTGAGAGAAGAAATTTTAATCACTTGACAACTTAAGCAGTCTATAATGATGTTAATAATGACATCATCAGACCTTTAGAGATTAGGAGCTTTTTTAGATCTTGTTTAAAGCTAGGTATGTCTGTCTCTGCCTTCTTGAAGTATGCATCAGTATGTTAGTATGTTAAGTAATTCTGATGCAAAGATGTATAAAGAAGATACAGACAAAAATACTAAACAGATTTTAGAGCTTAATTATATGTATCACAAATGCACTGTTTGTAATATAGTAATAAGCTATCATACATACAAATGAAATATAAAGATTTCATCAATTAATATATTTTGTATGTACAAAATATTAAATGCTAGAGCCAGTGTAACAAAATAGAATATTCTTTATATGTGACCTAGTAACATTTTAAGAAAAAATTAGATTAATAAAACTCTCTTAAGAAAGTGTTCTTATTAGCATAAGACAAAAAATTCATTTCTAGCAATTTTTGGAACACATTAGAAGATACATTCCTCTTTAAACAAATGGTTTAACAAACTTGGCAATTGAAAGGAATATATATGAATGTGAAATCCCATATATGATATATGAAAAACAATCCTTAAGGAAATTATATGAAAACTTTCAGCCTTTAAAGTATACATAATGTGAAATAGACTCATATTGTGTATGTATCTGTGTTTGGTACTGGGGATTGAACTCAGAGCCTTTGCACAGAGTTACATCCCCAGCGCTTTTTCACTTTTATTTTGAGGCAGAATCTAGCTAAGTCGCTGAAGCTCTGGTCAAATCCTCCTCTTCTAGTATCCTAAAGCGCTGAGATGACAGATGTGCAGCACCACACCCTGCTTAGACTCACAAAATAAATATTCTGTCATACTTCAAAGATACTGGACCATAAAAGTAAAGATAGGACATTAAGATTTAACATGAAACTCCTAAGTTTCAGAACTGGCTAGAGACTATCCTTTGGGCTTAAATAGGAATATATATATTTTACTTCAGGTTAGTGTGGAATATGGAAATTGAATTAATGTTTTGAAAGAAAATAAATTGAATTTATCTCTTCATCAACCTTCCTCATTTTACCTAAGACTATCTCTAATATTTACATCAACCTAATCTCTCAACCCAAGACTTATGTTTTATTCTTTTCTCTCTTAGAATTTTATATTCACCAAGTAGCACATCTTTCCATTATTATGTATTGACAGCTTTTAGTTTTCACGGTGTTTACTAAGTTAACCTCAGTAAGTTGATTCCCTAACT